CTCTGTCTCAAAAAAAAAAAAAAAAAAGCACAGCTCATGCCTGTAGTCCCAGCTACTTGGGAGGCTGAGAGGATCACTTGAGTCCAGGAGTTCAAGACCAGTCTGGGTGATATAGCAAGACCCTGACTCTAAAAAACACAAAACAAACACACACAAAAAAACCCCTTATATGGTAACCATGGGACTGAGGTGTTTTCAGCTGAGCTGGCTAAAAGTGAGGTTTTGCTAAGCCAATTGAGTATTATAATTTTCTCTTTTTAAAAACCAGGGAAACTCTGGGAAAGGAAGAGTCTAAACTGATGACTAGGGGAAAAGGTCTTAAATAACTTTATGATTTTCCTCACTCTGGAAAGTAAGAGTCTTCCAAGGATCTCATTGGCTTTAGAAGCCAGAACTAAAAGGAGAGAAGAAAGAGCCTTTGAATTGTGCAGGGGAAGAGGTAAGGTACTCTAGGACTTGGATGTACCCCAGGAAGTTTTAAAATACCAAGATTGTTTTTGCCCTCAGAAAAGAGAATGTATTACTACGAAAGTCACAGGCAGCTTCAGGGAACAAAAGGCTTTAAAGTGTTATAGCACAGAATAACCTAAGCTTAAGAAGATAAGAAGATATGGGGCCTTCAAGTTTCCTTAGTTGGGAGGAGGATAGCATTCATCTGATTGATTTCTTGCAATAATTCTGTGGCTTTGGCAATCTGTTGAGCTTTTTTAAAATAAGTAATATCTGTGGTACTGTTTCACCTCTATAACCTTGGTTTGTCTCCCTTCTCTCCCCACAGTGGACTTGTGTCTATGAATTCCAAGAAGGAGCTCCGGTGCGACCTGTCTCACCTCGCTGTTCTCTACGACTGACTCATTACATTGAAGAAGCCAATGTAGGCAGGGGTTACATCAAAGAACTTTGCTTCAGCCCTGATGGGCGAATGATTTCTTCCCCACATGGCTACGGGATTCGCTTGTTGGGATTTGACAAACAGTGCAGTGAACTTGTTGACTGTTTGCCCAAAGAAGCCAGTCCCCTGCGGGTGATCCGTTCTTTGTACTCTCATAATGATGTGGTACTGACGACAAAGTTCTCTCCAACACATTGTCAGATTGCCTCAGGGTGCCTTAGTGGACGGGTTTCTTTGTATCAGCCAAAGTTTTAGGCACAACTTACATCAAATAAGGAACTTCTGGTGTTTGACTTATAAATTACTTCAATTTAGGTGAAGTATTTTCTTTTTAGAACATCTTATAAGTTTGGGTCAAGATCCTGGTTCTTATGGGTCCATGAACACACCTGTGACCTGAGTACTTGGTCATCCGGCATCACACGGGCATCTCCAAGTTAGACTCTATGCAGCATCATCTTTTTCAGCATTCCTCTGCTCCTGCCAATCTGTGCCACTGAACTCCAGTTCTTCTGGTTACTTTGCACGGTAGCTCTTGCCAAGTTCCTTTCTCTTGCGTGTGTGCACTCTCTCTCTTTCTTTTTGGTTTTTGATTTTGTGGACAGGATTTTTTGGCAGGAGTTTTGGTTGGGGTAGGAGAAACCCATGACACCAGAATTGAATACAACTCAGAAGTTTGATGTTGGCATATTGGTTGTTGAAAAGAAATTTCATCTTTACTTAGTGTATTTTGCCTTTTAAGGTTGCTGTTATATTTCTCTATACTGAGCACAGATAATGGTGTTATTCTCATAATTGTTAAGATAGTCTTACACCAAAATGTCTTTTAAGTTTCCTGTTATACAGATTTTTTCCTCATGAGAGGGATTTTGTTGTGAAATTCTAGAAAAAAATATTACCACCTCTCTTTGTAATTTACTTGTATGAATTTAAAATCTCTAGCATGTATCCTTACTTGGTATTTTGTTCCTATCGACAGCATTAGAAAGGAAAGGAGGGGAAGGAATGGGCTTTGGACATTTCTATTATACAGAAAAGGATTTCTTTATTAGATTAGTACAGTATCTGGCCACAGAGTGATGAGAACAATGTGACTTAGATTTGCTGTGTTTTCTCTGCCAGATTATTTGAATCACACAGGATGATGTGTTAACAATATTGGGGTGGAGGGGCAATCAGGAGTAAAGAGGTGGAGGTTGACTCATCATTCTTTCCTGAGCCAGGTGTCACAAGCTCACCTTTCTTACCCTTAGTGAAGGGAGAACTGCAGTCCTCTTCAAGCTGTTGTCATAACCATGGTAGTAAGTGACTTGGATGTCAAGACTAAGTGCTGAAATGAACACTTGTTTTTCTGTTTTGTTATGGAACACAGCAAGTAGAAAGCATTAAGTAGGGGGTTAAGCACAAGGCTGACTGCTCTGTTGAATAACAGCTTTCTTCCAGTCTCCTCCACACGGGATGGCATAGTGTTTAGAGGATTACTAGAGTGACGGAGTGATTTAAGCCATGCACCAGCCTTGCTCTCTTAGGTCTCATTTTCTTTTGGCCAGTGGTTTTCAAACATTAGGGTACATTGTAATCATTGAAGAGCTTGTGAAAAATGCAGAAACTTTGGCCTCACCTTAGGAGATTCTGATTCAGCCAGGGAGAGGACAGGAATCTGAATTTTTAACTGGAATCCCAAGTAATCTTTATTCTGGTAGTCTCTGGATCACAGTTTGAAAAACACAACCTTAATCAGCAGTAAATACTTCTCTACCTATCTGGTACTTAACACAATTCCCAGAAGGTATTTAAAGCATTTAAAAAATAATAAGTAAATGAAATCAATAGACGATAACTTGGAATGGAATCAATTGAATCATCTGACAAATGAGAGGAGTTAATTGACTTGTTTAAGGTCACCCTGCAAAGTTAGTGGCAGAGCCAGGACTTGAATTCAAGTCTTCTAATTCCTTGCTCAGGGCAATTTCTAGTGTATTCTGCTGGCTGTTAAAAACAATGACTTATGGACACTTTAAGTTATATTATTGTGAATACTCTTAAACCGGCCAATAGATTGGAAAAAAAAAAAAAGCATGGGAGTAGATGCTGAGAATTCCAGCCATAGGAAGAAAAGTATTTAAAAT